CAAACTGTACTGCTTTAATAAATTCCTCCTCCGACAAACAGCAATCTTTAGAGATAAAACGCCAATGGTCCCTGATACACTCCATTGCGTAATCAATGGGGACGTTAGTGAAGAGGCTAACTACATCCAAAGATATTAACTGGAATTCATTGCTCAGTCGCCTACCATCAAGTTCTTTAACAAGTTTAAAACTATTTTCGATATAACTATCCGCTTTAGGAATTGTTTTAATGATAATATTATGAAGAAATACTGCCAACGAGTATAAGGGATTATTTATCGAAGACACTATTATCCGAAAAGCTTCCTAACCATCGGAATAATTAATTATAATTTCAAAATTTTTTGATACATTAGTTTTACATTTTCTTTATTTCGAGAATTTCAAAATTTCTTTCCCTTTTTTCTTTTTTACTGCATTCTTATCTGGATTTAATTCTGGCATTTATACTCTCGAGGTGAGGAAGATCACCACGACTAGTTAATAATTGTTACATTCTATGTATGTGAATTTATTAGTTATCTCTGAAGAAGGATCAAAAATGAGCCGAAACATGTAAGCGCTTTAGTAAAATAAAGAAGTTTCACGCTACGATAGTCGTGTTATTTGCGCAACGTCTCCCGCGCTTGACTCCTACTGCCCTTGTTCTTTCATTGTTTTTTGATTTATAAGGAGTCTTAGTCAGGTTGATTTACTACATTACGTTCTTTCTTAGGTGCCATAAACTATTACGGACATTTTATTTCAAACATACACATTCTACGACGACCTTTGGATCAACTCTTGAAAAAGGATTCAAAATGGAATTGGAGCCAAGCATGCCAAGAATCATTCGAACGTTTCAAACAAATTCTCCAGTCCAAGTTGCTTCTCACTCATTTCGATCCGAAGCATGAAATCATCATAGCCGCTGATGCTTCTCAGTATGGTATTGGCGCTTGCATATTACATAGATTTCCGGATAATTCAGTCAAAGCAATCAGTCACACCGCTAGAAATCTCACAGAAACTGAAAAAAAATATAGTCAAATCGAAAAAGAAGGCCTTGCATTAATATTTGCCGTCACAAAATTTCATAAAATGATATTTGGACGCAAGTTCACCCTACAGACAGACCATAAGCCTCTTACGATGATTTTTGGGAAAAAGAAAGGTGTACCTGTTTATACCGCCAATCGATTCCAACGTTGAGCACTCCAATTACTCGTCTACGATTTTGAAATTGAATATGTCAGAACATCTGAATTTGGTCGTGCCGACTCGTCTGATCAACAATTATCACAAACCAGAGGAAGATTTCATCATCGCTTCAGTCACAATGGAAGAAGATATTTCAACGGTTCTACAGGACTCACTACAATTCATTCCTATAACATTCAGTAAAATAAAATTAGCTACAGAACAAGATACGGTTTTACAGCAGGTTATTGCTTATACAATTGCAAACTGGCCAACATCTGTGGCACCTCATTCAGATCTCAAGCCTTTTTTCAATCGCAAAGAAGCACTTTCAGTAGTACAAAATTGTCTACTATTCAAAGAACGACTCGTAATTCCAGCTCAATATCGAGGACCCATCCTCAAGCAGTTACACAAAGGACATCCAGGAATGGAACACATGAAAGCCATCGTACGTTCTTACGTATACTGGCCTGGAATAGACAAGGAAATCGAGCAGTTCGTTAAGGCTTGCCATAACTGCGCTTTAGCCGCAAAATCTCCAACTAAGGTTCCACTTGCAAGTTGGTATACACCTACGTATCCATGGCAACGTCTTCACGCAGATTATGCTGGACCCATCAACGGGGAATATTATCTAATCGTTGTCGATGCCCTTTCAAAATGGCCAGAAATTTATCCGACAAAAACCATCACAGCTCAACGCACTGTTGAAATCATGGAAGATATTTTCGCTCGTTTCGGTATATCGGAAAGTCTGGTCACCGACAATGGAACTTAGTTTATTTCCGAAACGTTCCAATCATTTTGTCTATCGCATGGTATACAGCACTTACGTACACCGCCTTTTCATCCCAGCTCAAACGGCCAAGCCGAAAGATTCGTGGATACCTTCAAGAGGGGAATCCAAAAACTCACCAGTGGGGAGAACATTCGTAACCATTTACCTACATTTCTCAAACAATACAGATCCACACCTAACGTAAACGTTCCTAATAAAGTCTCTCCTGCTGAGGCACTGATGGGCAGACCAATGCGCACGGTTCTGGATTTACTTAAACCACCTATTCGACAACAGCTACAGAAAGACGACGCTAAATTACGTCAAGAACAACAGTTCAACCGCAAACAAGGAGTAAAACCCAAGGCTTTTGAAGTAGATTCAGAAGTTTACGTCAAGATCTATAATAATAATAAATGGAAATGGATTTCAGGAAAAGTTATAGAACGCATTGGACGAGTTCTATATAACATAGCAGACGAGACAACGCCTTGTCAGGGCTCATGCAAATCAATTTTAACCCCGTTTTCTTGTTGGAATTAAAGAATTTTAACAAGATAATCAGATACCATTAGATATCATATTGGAGACCTTTGATCTTTCAACTGAAGAGCAAGCTAACCCAGAGATGGCAACTTTAGAGTCTCAATCCGTAACCCCGGATAACATCTCCGACGTTAACCGTCCTGCAATTAACCAAGAGTCTGTTTCAGATCTACAGTTACAGCCACTAAGACGTTCTAGCCGTAAGAGACGCCCTCCAGCACGATACAGGACGTAGGATATCTTAAAAAAAAGAAGGGGAGGTGTTGCCGCCAGGAGATAAAGTAGCGAGTCGAGATCACGTGCACAACTTATGAAGCATAGTCGCGCTTGCTGCCAGTTCATATACTCATTCTCTCAGTCATATTCGTAATAAAGATATTCGATAATCATTGTGTTTCATTAAGCATATCCAAGAAACATAACAATAACACGTTGAAGTGTTTTGCATACCAAAGAGAATAAGAATCAGCCTACTTTCATAAATGTTTTAAAGCGATCTTATTATTTTATTTTATTCTATTCCTTCTTTTTCATTTACAAATAGCATGCAAAAAAATTTCATTGTGTCATTTCTTGCTTATGACATTATGATCCTTTTTTTTTTTTTTTGGTAAGGCAGGGGAAATGCATTACGCATACCGCGGGGGAATTCACTCCGCGGTTATGTGGGGCTCTCCCGACCTAACCAGGTCGGGCCTACCCACTAAAACCCCTTGTCCTTCCTCCCTTGTCCGTGCCAGTGTCCTTCCTCGGGCCTTGGCGGGGACGCCCCGGGTACGCGTGCAGCATTCTTCCGGGACGCCCCCAGGCCCGGACGGCCGAGGCCGTACCTAGCCTCTGCGGCTCAGGGGGAGGGGCTCTGTGCCCCTCCGCCCGGGCCGCCGCCCCCGTCGGGGCTCCTAGCCTAACTGGGCGAGGGGGGGGACACCGCCAACTCGCCCTAATCCTCCGGATGGAGGGGGGGCAGGACCGGATCCAG